GTGCAATGCCCACGGAGGACAGAAGAGGGCTTTAGATTTCCCTGGAACTGGAGTTAGGGACGGTTCGTAGCTGCCATGTGGGTGCTGGAAATCGAACCCGGGTCCCCTGCAAGAGCAGTCGGTGCTCTTAACCACTGAGCCATCTCTCCAGCCCCTGTAAATTAAAAAAAATTTAAATACAGGACTGAGAGCATAGCTCTGTGGTAGAGCACTTGCCTAGCATGCACTAAGCCTTCCATACCATTGCCAGCGCCACAAAGGAAAAAAAAGACAAAGGAAACTCTGTAGTTCTAATATTTTCTCCCTATGCCCAGTGGATTGTCGTCTCAGGATACAAAGTATGTGAACCTCACACACCACAATAGTGGCAACAGAGATGGAGAAAACCGGCTATGTTTGAGGAAGATTCTAGAAGAAAATTGATGCAAGTCCGTGCTGAAATGGATACAGAGAGAGTCAGGAAGAGGGGGGACTCCCGTGTCTCTAGGAGACCATGGTCCTGGTGAGACAATGGTGAGAAGACCTGAAGACGACGTGTGAGGGCTGCAGATAAGAAGACTGTGAACTGCATGTGTGCTCCTGTACACCTGCAACCCCAGCCCTTGGCAGGCTGGCTGAGGCAACAGGATCACAGTGAGTTCTAGGCCAGCTTAGGCTGCAAACTGAGTACCAAGCCAGCCAGGGTTACATAGCAAGACCTTGTCTCCAAACTCCAAAGAGTGAAGGAGGAGAAGGAAGTGCTGAGCGGCAGCAATCCTGAGTTCCATCATGACCTTGGTATCCAGAAGGACACCACAGAAGGAAGACTTGGAGGTGGGATCTGGGGCTTAGAAGAAGGAAAGGTGCTGTACCTATCACTGGATTGAGAGGAGGTGCTTTCTGGTGGTTGGTTTTATGACTTAGAAGAGGCATATGTTTTGGCATCTGAGAGGAGGGTCTGGTGGAGAGAAAGAGGAGCATACAGGAGACAAAGAATTCATCTGGTTCATCTTACAAGGTTCTAACAAGGGTACAGGAGCTGGGCATGATGGCAGACACCTATAATCCCAGCCTTTGAGGCTGAGGCAAAGGGATCCCTACTTTAAGGCCAACCTAGATGACATAGATGAGAAATGAATAATAATTTTTACAGATATTTTTATTTTTTAATTTTATGTATATGAGTATATTATCTGTAAGTATGTAAGCGCACCTGTCATGCAATGCCCACAGAGGATGGGAAGAAGAGGGTGTTGGATTCCCCTGGAACTGGAATTATGGACGGTTGTTAGCCTCCATGTGGGTGCTGGGAACTAAACCCAGGTCCTCTGTAAGAGGACTTAGTGCTCTTAACTGCTGAACTATCTCTCCAGTCCCTAATTAAAATTTTAAAGGCCATAGTGTTACATGCCTATAATCACAGTAACTCAGAGGCAGAGGCAGGATGATAAATTCAAGGTCATCCTGAGCTATATAGCACTTTGAGGCCAGCCTAGGCCTTATGAGACCCTGTCTCAAGAAACCAAAATAATCATAATAAATA